CACCCCCACCCACCTCCCTCTCCCAGGAGTCCCATGGGTGTTCCTCTGGCTCCTTCATTTCAGCCCTTCAAGGGAGGACCATGTCTCAAATCTTGGCTGCACGGCTATGACTTGGTTAGGTCCATTAATCTCTTTGAAACCAAGTTTCTTAATTTGTAGAATCAGGATATGATTGCTTTCTTTAAAAGATTAATGTGAGGATTCATTAGAAAAATGCAATCTTTAGCCGCACACGCGCGCACGTGTGTGTGTATGTGTGCACGCGCATTGTGGGTAGGAGCTAAGAGTAGAGATAGGGGTCAGTTGTAGGCAGGTGGGCCCTGGTCTCGTTTTGTCTGGGTTCAAATCCCAGCCCCTCCTCTCACTCTTTCTGATCTAGTTAAACACCTACTTTGTTCCTGTACTCCCTCCATGTGCAGATGTAGTAAACGTGGCCTCATAGGGCTGTTGTGAGGATTAAACAGAAGCAAACGCATATAAAGAGTTCAGTACAATGCCTGCCCGTTTAAGTGACCACAAAAAAGAAACCACCCTACATATTAACCGTTGTTATTTGGATGGGTTGCAATTATGAGCATCTGGGCCTTCTTTTTACTTTTCTGTATATGTCAAAGCGCTGAATGCGAGTTGCATTTAAAAAATTATAGTTTTGTAATGTGCGACGAATGACGAGAAGTGATTTCTCCCACCCCAGGAAATAGCTGGTGTTTGTCCGCTGTGCAAAACGCCTCATCCCCAACCCAAAGATAAAGTACACGTTTCCAAAAATGATTGTATCACAAGGATCTTTACTGTTTAAAGGTTACTCATGGTGGGGTTGTTAACTTGTGTTTAGTAAACTGTGCCAAGTGCCCACATTGAGACCAGTCCAGTCCAGTCACTCCACACGGATGTCTTCCTGTGCCCAGCGAGGTCACAAACAGACGGGGACCTTGACTCTCCTCTTGGTGAGGCCGGCTTTGCTGTTGAGTCCTTTCGAACTCTCCCGGGGCGGCCTACCCCATACACATCCATCCGGCGTCCCATATAAAATAAGATGGAAAAACTTCTCAATGTATTTCATAAGTTTAGCACGTCTCTGGTACAAAAAATTCAAGAAAGGTAGCACAAAAGCGAAAGCACCAACAGAGCTTACTTATAAACCGACATGCAAAAGGAAAAAACCCCTACACACTACCTAAGAGAGTGACATGAATACATTGCGTGAAAAGGTATAAAAGCACTGTACTGAAAACTGAAAAGTTACACGTGAAATACTGCACTGGAAACCCCTTAATACTCTAACGTCCCACCCCACCCTCCACCAACCCTGGCGAGGGTCAGCAACCAGGGGACCTGCCTCCAGACCTTGCTAGTTAGTCCTCGGAGACACTGTTGCGGGGGCAGGGGGGCGGGGGAGCCTCCCGCAGAGCCCTGGCCTCTTCCAGAGCTTCCCTGTAGCGGGAAGGCCAGGCCTGGGGGTCTTTCTTGAAGACCCTGGCCAGGAACTCCATGATCTGCATCTTGGTGATCTCGCGGGTGGCGCGGGGGCCCCAGAAGAACTCGTACTCGGGCGGCTCGACGTGGGGCACGCGCTGGTACTTCAGGTAGCTCTGCTGCACGAACTCCTCGGTGATGAGCCTCCTGACGTCGCCGAAGGTCGAGTGCTTCTTCCAGGGCCGCAGCCCCAGGATGCGCAGCACGTTCCAGACGGCGCTCTCCCGGGCGCCTCGGCCCTTCACGTAGATGAGGCTCAGGATCATCAGCAGGAGGCCCGTCATGGGCATGGGGTTGCTCAGCGCCACGCGCTCCTGCTCCTCCGGCTCCAGCGCCTTGACCAGCGAGAACTCCATGGTGTGCAGGCTGGTGAGCCGCAGGTGCAGCCCGAAGACGCGCGCCAGGATGAGGCTGGTGCGCCGGAGGATGCTGCGGCACCACTTCTTGTAGCTGCCGATCACATCCCGCACCATGTCGGGGAACCAGAGGACCATCCGCCTCTGGTCCTTGACCAGCACGTACCACATGAGCTCGTGCGCCTTCTGCACCAGCTGGGCCGGGGCGGGCGGCGCGGGGCCCGGCTGGGCC